GTGGGACTCCTACCTCCCCGTGCTGCGCTGAGGCTGAACCTGGAACAGATCTGCAAGACCTCCCTCCTGGAATGATGGTGTGCCTGGAGGACTGGCTCAGGGCAGGCGAGTCTCTGGTCTCTGTTTTCCTGACACAAGGTGTCTGCAATGCACCAAGAGTGTATTTCCTTTGCAAGCATCACCTAGAGACAGAGCATTTCAGTGCTGTGGAATGCCTCAAAATAACTCCATAGTTTAAAAGGAGCTGTTTCCCCAGCTGCCCCGCAACAGCCCATGGTGAGGTGTCCTCCACTACAGCTAAACAGGCCTGTCAGTCCTACAGCCAATATCCAGGTTAATGGATTAAGCCTGGATTGCTTTCCAAATTGCCCAGCAATGCCCAGCATGCTGCCAAATGTTGGTGGTGCACATACAGCCCCGAGTAGGTGCTGGGTGGGAACTTCACCCCACTGCTCCCTGAGCTGCTGGCACCCACAGATCCGAGAGGCACTGAGGGCTTGTTGTGGCCTTCACTGTTCTCAGTGACACAGGGAAGGAGAAGGAGCAAAAGAAAGACAACACCTTGCGTTTTTCTCTCCTGCAAAAAAGGCAGGCAGAACTGTGCTGTGGAGCCATCCTTATGGCTTTGGATGAAGTCCTGACAGCTCCTGTGATTTGCATCTCAACAGACATAACGAGTTGGCCCTTCATTCTTTAGCTACTCTTGTTAGGTAGCACCAAAATTGGAAAACTGCAAAATTATCAGGGCAAAATGCTTAGATACCACCACTGGGAGTGATATCTCTCATAGAAGCTGAATCTGAGTAATGTTTTCAAAAATTTATGGCACAGGAGTTTTTTAATATGACTTGAAAATGCATTGACAAATCAATCTCTTTTTAATTGGGGAAGAAAGCAAGAATGAGTATGTTTTCCTGGGATGTGTTATATGTGTTTTGTTTGAACACTTACACAGATTTAAATTACAATTTACAATTAAATAAATACAAATGAAACCGTATTTTAATTTGGCAGGCACCTTGGTAATTATTCAGATTTCTTTGCTGGGGTTTTTTTTGTGCTTTTTGTTTGTTTGGTTGGTTTTTGACTTTTTTTTGTTTGTTTTTTGGGGTTTTTTTTGTGGGGGAGTTGGATTGATTTTTTTTTTTTTCTGCTTAAAAATAATGCCTAGAATACTTAGCAAGGTTATTAACTGTGCCAGGATTTTCATGTGCATCTGTGTGATGCTAATTTAGAAACTGAAGCTTGTAATTGCTGAGATCTCTGTTTTTGACACTGCTGTTGCTCATTGTTGTTATTTGATGTGAGGCCTTTGCACCAGCCTTGGCACAATTGCAGGGGGAAGTTCCTGTAAGGCTGCAGCTCCCCAACAGTGCCAAGACATTTTCCTTGAGTTCCATTTCCCTTTTTGAGAGGTGGTTATGCTGCATGTCCTGCCCTCCAGTGCGCTGTTTGGGTAATGTGGTTGTTGACTTTAAAAACAACAAAATGAGAAAGTTTTGCCCTCCAGCTGTCCTTGTCATCAGGATTTATCCAGAGGTGTGTATCCAGTACTCATCTGGGGCAGTCTGGCACAAGTCATGCTGTTGGGCATGAACTTGGTGTATTACAGCCTGGCCCTCAGCTCTGTCCCCAGTTCAGCTCTTGATTCTTTTAATGACTTCAGGATGTTCCTCTACCCAAGGATATTTCATAGCTGCGTAAGGGAACTGGGTTCCAATTTACAATGGACACAAGTGAAAACTGGGCATGGAAATCCTTCACATACATTTAAAAACTCAGCTGGTCTTTCCTTCACACTCAGGTCTGGACACAAGAGAGGGTCTATAAATAAAAGAAGATTTTCACAGTCTTTTTATTCTCTTTCTCACTTTGATCTCAATGCCAGTTCACTCCTGCTCACTCTTACCCAGCCTCTTTTTATAGCATACATAGCATAGCTGTGGAAGTGGCACCATAGAGTTCAATAATTTTGCCATGGATCCCTCATTTCCCTTATTTCCAGTTACATCATGATCAATGTTGAAGGAAGATTTAGGATGTCTGTGAAAGTTTGTGGAATAAAAAGATCACACAATGAGAAGGCACAACTGTCACATCAGCTGGGGCAAGCTTAGATGCTGCTGCCATAAAAATCATCAAATAAGACTACAGTCCACAACACAGTTAACCCTCAGGAGGACAGAAATGCTGGCAGGTCTAAGGAGAACTAATTTTCCCAGCAAGATCCAGGCTTTGAGTCTAAGCTCCAGAATACAATGTCTTGTCAGATTCTAATATCACCATTTGCAAAACACTCGGAGCCTTTTCCTTCTTAGTGCTGGGTTGTTTGTCTGCTTAAGATAGATTTTATCATCTTCAGTGGCTGCTGTACACAGACCTTTCCCCACCACTGACAAAACATTCCAATCCTTTCTCTCCTTAATGCTGGTTTTTAGCATAGGTGTCATCAGCTTCTATGTGAGGCACACCTTGCCCATGGCAGACTGGGAATGGGGCAGTGCTGAAACAGGATCAGGACTCAGGTAGCAAAAGCTTTCTTGCACAGTGTACTGCTTTTAGACATTTGTGTTGTTTGTGTTTTCCTTCTGCATTTAGAGTTCTCTGAGCCTCAGCACCTCTGTTCATAGGGGCATGAGCAACACACAGCTGGCAAAAACACCACAGCAAGCAGCATTTACTTGTTCATCTGCTAGGACTTTCCCTTACCTATGTGCTCCATATTCCTGTCACAAACAGCTTGTCACCTGTGACACAAAGGAGCAAGCCTGAATGAAGTAAGAGGACAAACACTTTTCTGTGCCAAGGCCTCTTGGGGCTAAAGGCAGGAAGCCCTGGGAACACTTATTTACAGAGGCCAGGCATTTCCCACAGGAGAGTGCCCCCTGTACACAGGAGACAAGGCACCCACACTGTCACACTGGCTGAGGATGTCAAGGCAGATGGAGCCCTCTGAGGCTCTTTGAGACCACAGGGAACTTCACAGGTGCTGTTCACCAAGGAAATCAAGTCTATGTGTGACCAGTTTGGGACAAAGAGCTCTGAAGCTCCCCCTTGATATCCTCCTCCAAGGGATTCAGGTCACAGGGTCTGTCTGAGCATAGGACTTGCTGCTGTGTCTGGGACAGCCTGCAGCCCACCAAGCCTCAGCCTCCTTTCACCTGCAGACCTTCCTGAGCCCCAGCCCTGGCTCTTCACACTCGTTTCTCTCCTTCCACAGGGGAAGATGCCTGCAGGGAGTTGCAGGACTCTGGCTGGCTTTTTCACTTGCTCCAGAGGTCTCTGCCGATGCATTTTCCTCTGGCTCCGAAGCTGAGATGGGAACCGGTGTTTGTCCTTGTGGGCACAGGAGCCCGGGGTGGTCTGCTGTCCCTGTCCTGGCTGGGAAGGGAGAGCAGTGGTCACCATACCCAACCATGTGGATACTGCACACACAGAGCACAGTCATAGAAACAAAGGGAGAGAAGCTGCATGAAAGGCCTTTATTGTCAGTTGTTTCCCTCTGATGTCTATGAAATCCTGGCTAAACCATGAAAATCCAGAGTTCTGACTGGGCTGGATGAGAGAAGTGGCACATGCTGTCCATTACATCTTTCAGGCCAAGCTCAGACATCCCTGTCAGCTGGGGTATTCTCTCTGGGTTTGTACTCACTGCCACAGTGGCAAAGACAACAGAAGAAAAACACACAAGAGAAGGAACTTCATTAGGCAACAACTGCATCTGTCCACAAGAAGAGCTAATTCTTAAAAGAAGCAACTGGACCTAACAGCTGAGGTGTGACAAGTTATTCTTCTACTGCATTAAAGTCAGTCCAGCCAAAGGCTAGGAGTAATTCTTAGCAGAGTTCCTGTTGTAGTAACACCATGACAAGAATTTCTACATCTTCTGCTTTTCTGAGAAAATCTGAACCCTTCAAAAATTTTTTAAGTGGTAGTCTAATGCCCAAGTTTCACAAGGATGGTTAAAGTCAAATGACCAGGACAAAGGAATAAGGATCCAGCTTCTAATAAAAACATTACAGGATATCGTGGTAAAAAGTATATTTCTTTAATCCATATTTGAAAGTATAACTGCATCTGTAGAATATTTCAAGGGAAACTTCTATAATTTCCTACCAGGAAAGGTTCATTCAAGCGATGAAATATTTATTTTATTATTTAGTTTATCATAGTGTAAAAAATAAGCTTCCTGCAAACCATCAGGTGTAGAAAGGAATTGTATCACATCAGCTGGTGGGTACATTATGACCTACCTGATCTAAAGGAAAAAAGGGAGAGGATTCTCCAATGATGAGTATTTTTCCTAAGGCACTTGGTCATGTTTTCTCTACAAAAGCAGCTACATATAGAGATTCAGTATGCAGGCCTTCCATGTTTCCTAACACATGATGTGTTCAGATAAAGCCTGATGCTAGTCATCCAGTCAGGCCAGTTTTGATAACTTTTCCAAAACCTCTCTCTCTTGCAGGGAATTCATACCTGCCATAGGTGGTTAACATGCAGTTATCAAGGTTAAGACAAAGAGTCCTCAACAGAAGGCTGGGCTAGGTTTACTTCCTTTATTTTAAGAGGAAAGTGCTGCATAAAAACATAAGGAAATTATACTAAACAAATTTACTTCCTTATGCCTACTGACACACTGAAGTTAGTCAAGATTTAAGCCTCATGAACATCTGCATTTTCTGTAACAAGTACCTCTGAGATTTTTTAAATTGATGGCATGGCATCTTACAGAATGTGCTTACACTTGAGCATCTTAGCCCCAAGTCCTTTCTGCCTCTGATATTCATGTCGTTATTCATCTCTGTACAAGACACTCCAGCTCTTCAAAGGCTTCTGGAAGGCTATGAGCACTCCTTTCCTAGAGCTTTACAGAGCATAAATAGTTATGGATTCAGTCTGTCTGTAATGCAGCTTGTTTGTGTGGGATGTAGCACTGTCCTCCCTGTTTGGCAGGTGAGGAGGCTGACACATCGTATACTAACAGCAACATTTGCAAATATTTTCCTAAAACTAAGCACTAAGTTCTTCATTTGACATTTAAAGGAAAAAAAAAAATAGCCCGTTTTAGTTCTCATCTTTTGAAATTAACGGCAGCTACAGATATAAAGCACACATATATAAAATGTGAGCTGTTGAATTCATTTCTAATGGTACTCTTCTGTAAAAATGTTTCAAGCTATTGCTCCGAGGCAAGGATCCTGTAGCACACATGAGGACTGGTGGCACTGAGCAAAAAAAGAAATTCTTCTTTTTCTACCCTATGACTATTTATCAATACTCATCTAGAACAAGAAAACCTACATTAATGTTCCTTTGTATGATCTAGCCCCAGACCTTTCTGGAACATGGCATGCCAAAGTACGACTGATTATTCATCTGTAGTTCAGATTCCTTTTTTGACATTCCTTAGGTCAAAGACTTCAATTATATCACCACATAACCATAATCTGCCAATTACAGGAGCTCTCTCTCTCCTCCAGTGCGAGGAATGTGCTCAGATAGTGAGCAGCTTCCCAATGCTTAGTTGGTTTCCACTGATAAGAAGATGAACAAGCTTTCTTTATTCAATTTCTTTCAAATTAATCAAACTAATTTTATGCTAGAACTCACCTGTGAGCCATGGGGCTTTGTCACAAAAAGATGTATGTGAAACTGAGACAGAGAGAGAAGGGTCACACCATTAACAGTGGGTTCTCACTTTGGCCAAGCTTCTTCAATTTACATAATATTAAAATATTACATAGAGGTCATAAATAAGATCACAGCTTTGCTACTTTGTTACCACATATGGATGCCCAGAGCTGGAAATAAAGCCTAATGTTTTTACTTGATGAAAGACAGTTGTCTGATGTCTTTCAACTCCCCTCTTCATTTACTACAGGATTTCCAATTACCACATAATTTTCATTTATTACATGAACCTGATTCATTCCTAAAACAAGTTCATCCTGTTACTGAATAGAAAAATAGCCTGTAGGAAAATGGTGTTTGCTCCCATCTTTAAAAGCTGTCTGCACTTGTCTATACAAAAGGAGCAAAACAAGGTTATGCTCTTTAAGAGTGTTAGTATTGCTCATATGGGGAGAATGGACCCTCTTTTTCAAGCTGTGACACTGCCTGGGTTTGCACTCAGCAGCAGAGCAGCATCAGCCTCGTGCCTGCTGCTCGTGGTTTGGGCTGTGTTGATGGCTCAGTCCTTGCAGTGATGACAAGGGATCCTCAGCCTCACCACAGCCCAGCATTACAGGATGGTGGGGTGCTTTTGCCAGGGAGTTCACAGCAAGTGTTGGGATCTCTGGCTCACCCTGGCAGAAGTGGTCTTTGTGTCAGATGTGTCTGCTTCCCCACTGATCTCCTAGAACTTCTCTGCTGATTCAGGGAGAGGGTCCCAGTCCCCTTGGCAAGTACCTCATACCCCTCTGGCAGACACAGCACAGGCCTAATCCCCACAGTAAATTCAGACTGAACTTCAGTGCTTGTTAAAGAAAACATTGGATGCGCTTTTTTATTTTTTTTTATGTGACAAAAGGAAGTCTTTTATTTGAACATTTAAAAATTGAGATTGGTTGAACTGTTGGAAAATCACAGCCCAAATAATTTAACAGTGTTTCAAGCAGCTTCAAGCAAAATCTTACAGCAGGCCATGCCCTAAAGCTTTAAGATGAAGTAGCATTCCTCAGCAACACATGTTGAAGTAGACCATCAGCCAAATTCAAAAGTAAAGGAAAGCACCTTTGCTGCTGTAATGCCTGTTCAGTGGCATATTTTTTGCAGTCCCAAACTGTCAAGCAGTCTTTCTGGTTGAAAATCTAGATGCATCCATTATCCCCTGACATTTATTGTGACAGTGTGCTATTAAGATGAAAGAAAAGTTATTCATTTGGGAATCACTTGACAATATAAATGGTGCTATTTTGAGCTCTTGTTGCCGCTACAATTAATCAAGTGAGAGGCAATCGGTTTGGTGGTTTGGTTTTTTTCTTTTTTTCCTTATTCTATAGTTCATTTAAGAAACTTGGCAACTTCCTTTCCTAGGTAGTGCTACTTTTTCTATTCAATTCCATTACAAAGCCAGTTTTTATCAATTTAGCAAGAAGAATTCTGCAGTAGCTTTTAATAGTGTCACATTCTCAGACCTAATGGGCAAGATACAAAATGAAGGATGTAAAAAATGCTGCAAAGACTGATACAGCTCCTTTTTTCCCCCAGCTAGTTACATGAGCAGACACCTGACAGCATTCCCACCCATTTCCCTTTGGTTTAGTAACGTGTGTGCAGTGGGGCCCTGGTATTTCATCAGACACTTTTGGTGGAAGGGAGCAGGAGCTGCTGGGAAATGATGTAAGAAGCCACAGAGGAGCCATCAGGTCTCTGGAGTCTCTTTTTTGGTGAAATAAATGACAGATATAAGAGAACATCAAAAAGTTCTCTTTTTACATTTTACTTCATTTTACTCTTTTTATATTTTACTTCATAATCCACATTATTGGTGAGAATGCTACTTACCTAGTGCAGATGTAACATGATATAATAGTCTCTAATGGATCATTTGCAAATGACAAATAATTGGTATTGCCAACTTCTTCTTTTCCCACATCTGAAATAAAGGTCAGTGAACTTCTCTCTGGCAAGGAAAAATCTTCCAATCTGTATCCTGAAAAGAAAGAAAAATCAAATAGTACCATGGTTCCAAAATGGAATGAAAGACATCCTATGTTCATTAAGACAGATAAGTATCTCAGTGAAGAAAAACAGTGAGGAAAAAAAAAAGGAGAAAATGCTGTAAACTCTGGTTACTTAGGCAATTTCCTTATAGCTTTAGCAACATATAAGAAGTAAGAGACAAAAAGCCTGGGATTTTTAAAATTTTAATTAAACATTTTATCAGCTTAAAAAGAATCCATCTCTTTCCCCCTTCGTCCACTAGAACTTAAAAGAAATGTACATATCTGCCAATAGGAAAGTAATAAATAAATAGATAAATGAATAAAATGGCATTTTATGTAATTTCCAAGTACAAAGCTAAGTGGTACTGGGGTAATCAGGAAGAAACATTACATGTGGTTTTATCTTTTTACTTGGATGCTCCTTCCCCTTTCTCTTATTTTTTGATTCTCTCTGAATTGCAAATTTTATCCTATAGACAGGGAACCAGGCACATTTTTGGATTCCATGAATGAAGGGCTCATTATTCCTGAATAAATAAGTAAGGTTTCTGTTATTGGAAGGCAGAAAACCAGAGTCTTTTGTATGAATCCATTCTGACTGGTGTATCTCACCTACAGGGTCAGTGGGATATACAGGTAAGTTGCTCATAGTCTGTGGAATTTGTAAAAAAGTCATTGATCAGACACTGTGGTCTCATAACATCACAAAGAAGGCAGTTTTTTATTATTCCACAGTGATGCACTGACACTCCAGACATCCACAGGCAGTCTTTGAGTACATTCTCTCCATAGGATATGGAGAGAATGTACATGTAGTTGAATGCCAGACCTGTTTTCATCTGGGGTTATTCACAAAGCATGATTGGTGATACATAATGCAAGGCTGACAAAGCTGGCAGTATCCTCCTAAAAAAAAAAAAAAAAAAAAAAAAAAAAAAAAAAGAAAAAAAACTGAGGTGAAAAAAAATAAAGTGAAGCATTTTCACGGTTCAAAAAAAAAACTTCAAAAAGATTTCAGAAAGTATTATCTTGGCTGTGCTCCCAAGCACTTGAGAGCTGACTGCCAAAGTATTAAGTCTCCAGTAAGATAAAAATATCTGTTCATACACACACACACACACACACACCCCACACACACATACACACACACACATTCAATATGCATCTAAAGACCTATTCAAATAATATTAAATGATTCAAACTGGCACAAGCATGAAGCCTGCAGAGAATATGGCAATCCCATCAGTAACTGCTGCCTTGTCCACAGAAACTTTGCCAGAGTGGAATTCTATAAAAATCCAAGCTCCAAGCACATCTCCTGCCTTGCTGCCACAGCACAGGAGGCATCTCTTCCAACAAGACTCACAGCTTCTTTCCAAATTTAGGGCACAATGTACCCTGCAACACATTACCTCCCACACTAATAGTGAGACTGCAAACACAGGTGATCATGTTTTTCAGCTGCTGGTTTTTAATAATTCTGGAAACTTGCTGTGAGTTCATTTATTAATTAATATTTATTTACTAAGTTTGTCCTGAAGGCAACTATTGCTTTTACCGCTGCCCTGTTTCCAGTACCATTTCACTATGACACCACTGAAAAATCCTCTTTTCCAAAAAGGGAATGAATACCATGAACTTCTGGCAAAGGTATACTGTCAAAAGGCACAGTCCTAAAGTCCTAAAGACACCATCAAGCACGTGGTTCTGATGTTTCTTCTCTTGGCAAACAAGAAGCTAAATAGCAAGTGTGACTGTGAATGTGGGAGCTAATAAAAATCAGTCTTTGGCCACAACATTCACCGAGCCCAGAAGCTATCCAAGTGGCCACATGGTCATGACCATAAACTTCACCCCTCCTTAGTGCTTATTAAATGTCTCTCTTCTAAACCTAGGAGAGAGAACAGGGGTTTAATGAAGGCAGGTGGGACCTAGAACTAACAAAGAAATATGTTTTTCTCCTGAATAAATATTTCATTAAAAGCTCTATGCCAGTCAGCCACTTGTAAGTCAGGGTGAGATAGGGAGGAAGTCTGTATTAAGTAGTCAAGTGTCTTGGATGAAGACATCTGCATCACCACTTTTTTATATCACAAGACACATCATAACTTGAAAAATTACATGAGAGGATAACTATGCAAGAGAATTCTCCATGCCTCCAGGCCAACTAGAGCATTGGTTTCTCCATTAAAATGTCTAATTTTGAAGGTTCACACATTTATCCAGAATCTGAATGTGCATAGGCTTGTTTCTCCAGGTAAAACCGCTCAAACTGTGCATCTTGCTTAATCTGAGGAAGATGAATATTCAGCACATTTAAAATTGTCCACATGGAATATTCCTCAGTATTGAGGAGCTGCCATCATTTTGCAAGAAGAAACTACAGGAGAAAGGCAGCACCTGATGTGCCTCTCTCACCATCTGCAGCAGCAGTTTGCTATTTATACATTTATGATTGCACTGCTGGTCCTGAGGTCAGGGTGCCTGCATGGATTTTGCAGAAGAAAACATTCCGATAAAAACTATGAGACATAAGAAACTGTAAAAATGCTTACAAGCTTTGTGTAAACATTTGGATATTGGGATTTAAAATTACACAATTGACAGGATATTAGCTAAAACACCTGTTGAGAACAATACAAATGGCCAGTCTAGTCTGAAGAGAGGGGTATTGCAAAAATGAGGGGTGATGTTATTGCTTTTAGAGATTAGCTTAGAACTGTTGAAACACCCAGCTACTGTTCACTGTATTTACAAATTGCTATGTGAATCTGATGGTGAGATACTGAGTCTACAGGTTGCATAACAGTAGAAAGAAATATGTTTTTCATTCTCTTTTTACTGTAAAAGTGAACTTTAAAATTCATGTTGATGTTCATTTGGATAAAATAATTCAAAAGTTCTTCCAGTAAAAGAAAAAAGTTATTACCATTAAATATTTTAATGCTAGAATAAATGAAAGCAAGTGTGCTTTAATTATGTTCTGTAATTTGGACCACAATTAAGTCATTCAGTTTTTAATTCAGTCACTCCACTATTTTGGTGTTTAGATTAAAACAAACAAACAAACAAAAAAAACCAGAAGAACAACCAAAAATAAAACGAGCAAAAAAGAAGTCAGAAATAAGCTTCTGTTAGACAATATTTCACAGGAGGACTGACAAAGGCAAAGATCTCACTGGGTTGTTTATAAAGCACACTATCATTTGAATCTAAGCTCGGCAAAATCATCTGTCAAAAGCTTTTGTCCTGATGTCAGCTCAACAGACTACAACATTAATATGCAAAGGTCACAGATCAAAGTATACAATTAATGATGACATTTGAACTGCCATTTTTATTAATGACATCAGCATTCTTTGAAAGGCAATTCCAGACACATGCACAGGAATAACTTTAGATGTGATTTTAAAAGCACAGGGTGGTAAACCACGATTTTATATATTTTTTTTAAATAGCGAGAAGGCCATTAGCTTTTGCACACAACCTACTTTGATAGATTGCTTGGAGGAATCCATAGTCTGAGTTTATCCATGCTAATGTTCTTAAAGATGTTTCTTCCATCTATGTTACCCCAAAGGACAATTTCTTCTTGAGTTTGGAAGCTGGCTTTTCAGAATCACACCAACATTCCAGGAAGGATAAAGGCTTTGCAGGTGAGAAGGAAGCTCAGCATTACAGAGCTCTCCCTGCATATGAGCCTCTCTGATGGGAGGTGAGGATGACGTTGCTGTGGGTTTGATCTTGCTTCTTCCCCAGTGCACAAAGTTTACCAATACCAGGGTACCTGGTACTGTATAACCTTTCAAATTCACTTTCTTGGAGCAGGTCAGAGGTGTTCTGAGCACGGAGGCTGTGATCGGGCTGATGGCAGAATGCAGCAAATGTGACAATTGTCAGGTCCAAGTGTCAGGCAGCAGCAGGAAGGGGTGAGTCTTCAGCAGCTCCAGCTCAACGTGTGTGCTGCTGTATGCAGAAGCCCCAGTGGCTACAGGGATGTTAAAGAGAATAAATCAGATCTAATACCTGATCCAGAAAGAGCACAGCTCAAACATCTGCAGTTAAAATTCCTTATTCTCCAACACAGGCTTGTCATACTTGGATTATATTTGGGGATGGCTCCTGTCCCATGTTGGAGTTTGACCAACACCAAGGAACTGCTTGGTTCAGGTATGTGTCAAAAAACCAAGATGGCATCTTCCTTATTTTTGCCTTTATAGGAAAAAATATGAACAAATCAGCTCATAGACTTTCTTAGTCCTTGAAATTGGTTGGTTTGAGATTGACAAACTTAAGAAATGCAAAACTTATATGTTAGAGAAACACAGAACTGCACTTGAGTGATGGTGGGAGCATAATTCTCTTCAATTTTCTGTGTATTTTGCAGAAAACAAAACTTTATTCTGCTCAGTCACTGGCATTTTTTAGAGAATACATGACAATAGGTATCAGCTGCAGTGAAAAATTCAATGAAAGCTTGCTGGAAGCCACAGCAGATAAAACCACCAATCCATAGATTAGCATTTCAGTGTTATTATTCTTCAGGCAGTGCAGATGGTGGTTTGTCTAATGCCTGCTCTTTTCAGGCACTGGCCCTAGTTTCAGGCACTATCCATGCCTTATCTCATTTGTATCATTTTAATTCAAAACAATAATCTTTAACTTTCGCAATATTTTCAAGCACAAATGTGCCAGAATGACCTGGATAGCCACAGACACCTAGAGAAAAACACAGACAGAACCTGGAAGTTCTATAGATTACATTTACTCCAGCTCCAAGATTTCCACTCATCTCTGGTTTAAAACTCTCTTCTCTCTCCAGAGGAGGTATGTATTTCAGGGCACTTCCATGCTTTTGAAACCACTGATGCCAAGAGCAAAGACAATTACTTTCCCAATCAGGAGGAACTGGGTTACTGATCTCAGTACTCAGTGGGTGCTGTGACCTGCAATACATAGGTCCAGTCTTGTTCATCAGATATACCCACACTGAGAGTCTGAAAGTATTTTCATTTATGAAGCCTATTATGTTTTATTTTTGTTGACACTACATGATTTCAAAATCTGCCAAGAGGCTGAAGTCCTGGAAATTGTGGCCAGATTGATACAAAGCTCCTGGACTCAAGAGACATTGGATATTAAAGAGGGAGGCAGGTGCAGGAAACAAAGCTTGGCATGACAGATTATCCATCACATGTGGCAGGGACAGGAAATAGCAGTGCCAAGACAGCAGCAGCTGTGGATGGGCTGTGCAGAAGCCAGCCTGCATCAACCTGCTGTCAAGGAAAAACAGCTCCTAGAAACTGCTGATTTCCCTTGTGCTTGGATGAAATGCTCACCACAGCCCTCCTTGGAGTTAGTGCAGAAAACAAGTCTCTGCCTGTTCCTCCCCTGCCCTTTAACTCCACAGAACTCTTGTCAGCATGATATAGTTTTCAGTCTGAACATGAAACCACAGCCAGCCTCTGTGCTGAGTGGTGGGACTTTGGCCCATGCCTGATTTGCACTTGGAGGCAGCTACACTACAGCTTTATCTAGAAGTGGCTGGAATGGAATGTGTTCTGCCCTGCTGGGGAGCACAGCCATCCACACCCTGCCCTGTTCCTGTGAGCATCCCAGCAGGTGAGGCTAGAGGGAAGACTGGAGAATTTTATACCCCTCTGCTTAAGAAGCCGTGAATTTTCAGCGAGAAGAAGCACTGCCTGTGGTATTTTTAGTTTCTACAAAGTAACTACTAGTACTACTTTCCACAGTGTTCTGTTACTTTTCCAAAAGGTGAAGACCGAAGACAAACTGACGCTGCAGTGTGTTCAAGGGTTCCTCTTCAGTGGGTGTTAGGAGCTGCTCACAGAAAGCATAGACAGAGATGTTTTCATGTAGAAGGAACACCACGAGGTATAGGGGTGAAAAACACAGCATATAGGAGGTATCATGCTGAAATCCGCTGCATAACTCTGGCCACCTCCTTCCTTCTGAGCCATATGACCCACCAGGGTATGTGACTCGGTGCAGATCAAGTTCAAGACATACAAGACCAATAACAATAGGCAGACAAATCTCTCTACTTATTAACTCTAGTCACTTAGCAAGTGAACATTTGATTTTTTTTTTTTTAATATGAAATTTCAGTGTCCTGATGAGTCCATGGCTGTGACCCACCTTGTAATACAGAATTATGCAAAAAACCTTTTAAGATCCTGTTCTGAATCAAGAGGTTCTCCATTCTATTATGTTTTATTTTTGTTGACACTACATGATTTCAAAATCTGCCAAGAGGCTGAAGTCCTGGAAATTGTGGCCAGATTGATACAAAGCTCCTGGACTCAAGAGACATTGGATATTAAAGAGGGAGGCAGGTGCAGGAAACAAAGCTTGGCATGACAGATTATCCATCACATGTGGCAGGGACAGGAAATAGCAGTGCCAAGACAGCAGCAGCTGTGGATGGGCTGTGCAGAAGCCAGCCTGCATCAACCTGCTGTCAAGGAAAAACAGCTCCTAGAAACTGCTGATTTCCCTTGTGCTTGGATGAAATGCTCACCACAGCCCTCCTTGGAGTTAGTGCAGAAAACAAGTCTCTGCCTGTTCCTCCCCTGCCCTTTAACTCCACAGAACTCTTGTCAGCATGATATAGTTTTCAGTCTGAACATGAAACCACAGCCAGCCTCTGTGCTGAGTGGTGGGACTTTGGCCCATGCCTGATTTGCACTTGGAGGCAGCTACACTACAGCTTTATCTAGAAGTGGCTGGAATGGAATGTGTTCTGCCCTGCTGGGGAGCACAGCCATCCACACCCTGCCCTGTTCCTGTGAGCATCCCAGCAGGTGAGGTTAGAGGGAAGACTGGAGAATTTTATACCCCTCTGCTTAAGAAGCCGTGAATTTTCAGCGAGAAGAAGCACTGCCTGTGGTATTTTTAGTTTCTACAAAGTAACTACTAGTACTACTTTCCACAGTGTTCTGTTACTTTTCCAAAAGGTGAAGACCGAAGACAAACTGACGCTGCAGTGTGTTCAAGGGTTCCTCTTCAGTGGGTGTTAGGAGCTGCTCACAGAAAGCATAGACAGAGATGTTTTCATGTAGAAGGAACACCACGAGGTATATGGGTGAAAAACACAGCATATAGGAGGTATCATGCTGAAATCCACTGCATAACTCTGGCCACCTCCTTCCTTCTGAGCCATATGACCCACCAGGGTATGTGACTCGGTGCAGATCAAGTTCAAGACATACAAGACCAATAACAATAGGCAGACAAATCTCTCTACTTATTAACTCTAGTCACTTAGCAAGTGAACATTTGATTTTTTTTTTTTTAATATGAAATTTCAGTGTCCTGGTGAGTCCTTGGCTGTGACCCACCTTGCAATACAAAATTATGCAAAAAACCTTTTAAGATCCTGTTCTGAATCAAGAGGTTCTCCATTCTATTATGTTGCCTATACTTGTATTGCCTGACAATAAGTATTATTGTGATATTATACTGATTATGAACAGAAAAACCAATGTAGGTGCAATGTAGGGGAAAGTTCCATCAAAACAGAAATATTGATATCTTAGAGTTTTAACTCCTTAGTTTCCAACCAAAACTAATTTCTTAAATACCTTCTCAGTCATTCCTATCTAAAAATTAATATTAGCAAGTTTCAGGTAATGAAAGTATAAGCCTTCCAATTTGCAGGAAAACCAGGGTTGTAAGTCAGCCTTGGAGCCCAGGGTGAGTATGGCACTGGTGCCCCATTTAGCTCCTAGCTCTGAAGTTTACATTCTCTTCACAAATAAGCATACCTCTTCTTCAAACATATTTTATTTGTGTTCATATCCATGTTATAAACACATACAGATTAAATAATTTTGCTTTTTGTAGAGAAAAGCAAGCAGAAATAATTAGGGGGAAAAAAGCCAAACAAACCCAACCCCAAAGCATTTTGTATAATCTTTTTCAGGAAACTCCTAATCCTCTAAGTGCTAGTACTTTTTTAAACATTCTGATGGTTAAATGTTTTGACTTTCTGATGTAAAGGTCTTTTAACTAAATTTTCTTCTACTTAATTTTCTAAGTATTCAGAACCCTTAAAATGGGATTTTAAAAATATTTTTTATATTAATATTTTTCTGGAAAAAAAAATCCAATTTATCCAACCTGAAATGAATTGAAAATCCAGTTTAGTACTGTTTGCTCTGTTGATAACTGACTTTGTGCAAGTAACATCACCTGGTGTTCAGTTTATCTTCTATCAGATGAGAACAATCCTTCATAATCCTGTTTCTCTTTCTGTCTCTAGAGTGGACAGACTGCCCTTCACTGTCCTCAGGGATCCTACAGAATTCCCATCCTTCAAGTGCTGTTTGACTTAATATAATAATAAATATAAAATAACTGAAGTGGAACCAGTCTTTCTCTTGCCTAATATTCACATGCATGATCAAGTATTTTCAGAGCATTTCTCAGTATGTTTAAAGCTGAGTCTAGCTTTCATTTTGGTTTTACAAGGCAGCCATTCCAGATTTAAACTACTTTATTTTGACCTTATTTTCATAATTACATTAAGGTTTTGTCATATTCACTTTCATTAAACTGAATTAAGTCTTCACTTTATTAAACTGTGATTCCCTTAGGTTAGGAGAGGGGAATGATAATGGCATATGAATTTTTCCATATTGAACTGCCTCCTTTTTGCTTAGAGCTTTATTATTTAATATTTTTAAAATTCTTTCCAGTGATAAAAAAAATAAATTCCATTTTCTTAGTATCATTCATGCTGATAAGATTTAGCAGTAAGCTTCTTAAAAATAAAAGCAGCAACATTACAAAAGCACCAGAATGCATTTATATATGGTACTCACCTGAAGATACATGAGGGCTCCCTAGCCTTGAACATTGTGATCATCCCATGGCTACAACACATGGCTGTGTCCTGCTCCTAAATTTTCTTCAGACTGCAAACTTTTTTGCATCACTGTAGCTTTTTGAAAACTCAT